TAAAATCTTTCATGTGCGAAAACTTACCTAAGCAATAACACGTACAAAAAAGCCGACATCCTGTATTAGTTTATCACATAGTTAAGTATATACTCTCACAACAATTTATATAATTCTCTGAACACACGATGGTATTCTCGCGGGAATAAACTCGTTGCGAGATACACGACACGTTTTCACTCCCGAGAACATAAGTCGGGAAGAGCTTGAAAGCTCGCTAAGAAAGTCGCGGAAGACGTAGTTGGTGACGGTGGTGGATGCGGGTAAGGGGACATCTCTCTCGAAGGGGTCTTAACGTTTTATCCCGTTCGTGATAGGGGGAAGGATCTCCGTTGTACACAAAACGAGGGAGGATGGGGGTGCGCCAGCAGCCCCGCGCAACCCTTACGCTCTTACGCCCACACTTATGAATCAGTGGATGAATGAATCGACTTTGCCCCACTTTCCGGCGCGTGGGTGTAACGTATCAGCCGGCTAGTCTGACATTTTCGCGCGGTGGCGGCGACCACCCTCACCGGCAACAGCAGCAGTAGCAGCAGCAGCCCGGCGACGACGTGGGCGTTGCTGACTCTATATCTACCCACGTAAGTAGACAGTAGTCTGGGACGCGACCACGCAAAAATCCATTTCTACGATCGTCCCGTTTTGGCGGAAAAACAAAATCGTCGTGTCGCCGACATAACCGAATCGCGCCAACCACCGTACTGCGTCTTATGTATATACACATTCATTACATTCATTATATCGAACATTATGCAACACATAATACCTCGGTCGATCGCTGTCGATCGCAAGTGACAATCATTGGGTTGGTCAAAAGTTGCGTGCAGCAGAGAAAGCAGCTTTGCAACTGTTGTCAAATTCTTTAACATGATTGATTAATTCATTTAGATCTAGTGAGAAACCAAGGACTAATCATGTTAAAGAATTTTACAACAGTTGCAAAGCTACTTTTTCTGCTGAACGCACCTATTACATATAGTTATGTTATACATGTAATACTTGTATTCGATTCAGTACATATGTCGCGTCGAGTGAAATTGCGATGAACTCGACGGAGCAGCGAAACAAATAGCGTCGTTGGAGTCGCAGAAGCGTAGATCCGTTTTCGCGTTACAACAAAATATTTGGTCGCGAGAAATTTTTAATTTATGTAGCTGACGCGCGTGGGGTTTATGTTCTTTTTAGTACTGTTTCGTGCAAAGAATCCGATCTTCTTGCGCATTTTCGTTACGGATGCTCGACAAATCCGTCAGTGTCCCAACCTACGCGCACTATCGATATCCTCGATGATCCGTGACATGCGTCGAATAGAATTTAGAAACCGCAGCTAATTTCCCGTCCTGTTTTCATGCTGCTGGAGAAGCTATCGACTAACTCGAGAAAAGTCGTCGTAGTGCATCGCGAGATGCGGTCCGATTAACGTTGTAGTGGTGAGCGTAGCACTCTGAATGACGTCAACGGTGTCCCTGTATCCCAAGCTCCCATTAACTTCGACCGAACGCCGAAAAATATAAAAGGAAATTTCACGAACAAGATACCGCGTTTCTCACTCCCTCGTCCGCAATTAATTCGCCGGCATCTCGTTAATGCTTCCTTCAACGATACTGGCATTTTCACAATGGCCTTTTAACCTTGTACCGCGGCAAATGTCACTGATCGATATCATTTTCGTAGACGCATTTTTATCGTCGTACATTCTACGCGCGAGATTACATAAAACGATAAATTAAAACGTGGAACAATGTCATTACAACGTCAATCAATATGACGCAAAAATAGTCTTAAAAGTTTCTTAACACCAAAGTAGAATCATCTAACACTTGTTGTATATTTACGTTTAGCAAGTTGGTTATACAATTATACGAGTATCCATGACATAGAATTATATTTTAATGAGTAGTAAATAAAATCTAATGTTGCACCCAAGCACTGAACGTATCGTGGGCATGTTCCTCGGCGGTTTAAACGACACTCTCGAGGCACTACTAACGTCATCTTCGTAAAGGAATCAGCCACGTGCGACAAGGAATTACCGTTTCATTATACGGACGGCAAAGAGAGGTATAGGAGCAACGAGAGAAGGTAGTGTTGAGGCAGGCTCAAGCGTAGTAAGCATAAAATAAACTTGGAGACGCATGGGGTTCTACGTTTGCCTCACGCACGTACAGCGCGAGAGGCATGTAGCTGCAAATAATAACAGTGATTGTACAGCTCGCTTCAAATGCCAGTTTATAAGTTGATTGTGAGAACGAAAGATATTTACATTATTAAGCTAATATGAAATCTTAAATCCTGAAAATCTCGCTTAAAATGTTTCAATGAAACGGTATATTCCACAAGGAAATTAATTGCGACTGAACCGGACTGTGTTCTTAGAATATTTCGACTACTTTTATAATAACGTAATAATGCGACATATATCTTTTATACATTCGTTTTATTATCTAGCATATTATTAAAAGAATTAAATGTAATTTAATATCAATTTTAATAATTTTCCATAGAAAGTGCAATTGATCGTGTAAGATGCTGTATACAGAAAATAAAAATTAAGTGAATTTTAATTATTTTTAATTATTGTAGTAGACTAAACAATTGCTAATAATTATTATTAATAATAATTGTATAGTCTACTACAGTAATTAAAAATAATTAAAATTCACATAATTTTTATTTCCTGCATCTTAAGATCAATCGCATTTTCTATGAAAAACAATTAAAATCGATATTAAATTATATTTAACTCTTTTTCCTCCAAATTCAATAGATGATAGAAACTCAGATAGATGATACCGTTTTTATTTTATGAAAAAATAGTGATATGTAAAATGGTGTTTGAAAAATCCTGTATAACGTCGTGACGCGACGGCAATGCAACCAACGGCGTCATTTTCAAGGCGATTACGCCACGGCGTTTCTAACCCTTGTATTCCAGATGGAATGTCAAGTGCGAGCTTTACAAATGAACGATTGAGGCAGAAAAGCAAACAATAGCCGGAAAATGCTTCAACTTTGCACTCAACACTAGACATCGCAAACTCACTATCTAGTCGAAACGAACGTCAATGTCGGAGTTATTCATCGCGAATTACAGAGATGAAAGACTCTTTATGTGCAAATGAGCAATAAAAGGAGAATGCAATCTGTCATCGCGCTATGTGCAACGACCGTCAAATCTCGGGACAGCAGCATCAACACAACGCGAAAAAAAAAACACAAGAAAATAAATCGCGCTCCTATTCGCAAATTTGCGATTGAGACATTACACGAAAATCTTTCAAGCAAATGACGATACAGAAGAAATCTAGTCGAGCGCAGAATCTATTGTCGATTAAAGCTGTCTCACGTATAAGCGAATGGATAATAAAGCAAAAGCTGGCTCTATCGGTCGTTGCGGTTTAGCAGAATATTCAGATTATTTATGGTCAAAATCGGATACGAGAGTCGAGGGTGATATTACCGCGGTACGTAGGCGGTATAACGCGATGCACGATCCTATATTCGCCATCCATTCCACAAAATATATATATATATATATATATATGTGTATATATACATTAGAACGTATCCGAAGAAAAAGGATCTTCCACGTTTCTGGATATTGTGCCATTCTCTTCGATAGCCATACATAACGGTACTCTTTTCTCAACAAGCTGTCTCATTCTACGTAGTGAGCTCGTTCATTCAGAACGTTAAATCAATGAGCGTTATTTTTGGCGCAGACCGACGTCTGCCTGCGGCCGTACGCACGTACATAACCGCTCTTACGCAAAAATCTCACGTATTTGAACTCGCGTCGATGCTCCGTCTGTGACGTATCGAATACGTCAGCGATTATGTTATGACTTAGACGTATCTTTGACGCATACGACGGAAAAAGATTGAAGAATCAGTGATATAAATAGAATTCTTTAAATAGAACTTTTTTCTGTAAAGTGCGCTAATGAACACTCGAGAGTTTAATCCGTAAATAAATTGTCACTTTATTTCAAGTGAGATAAAATTAGATAATAGAATTGTATGTTAATAAAGATATATATATGAATAGGCTATAATAGATTAAGAGAGGTACAAAGATTTGCGTATTATAAGAATAAATATAATTATCATTCAAATATAATGATCATTAGCAAGTTTTTTATTCTACAAGTTTATTGGAATATATATATATGCCATGTAACTATTAGGTGTTAAACTTAATTCCTGCCATTTTTCGTCTCCAAAATTGATTTGTTTAGAAGGGAAGATGAATGAATACCTTAATCAAAGTAATTTCCTCCATTTTCTACTTTATTACTAATTAATAATACTTTATTAATAATACTTTGATTAAGGTATTTCCCTTTAACACCTAATACATATACAATATTTTTTGTCATTTCATTTATGTTCCTAAATTGATTAAAAAAATTTTTTTAATAATTTTTTTGCATTGAATTGTCAATTTTGCAGAAAAGCCAGACACGATCCTAAAATTTTATTGAAAGAAATGAAAAAGAAGAAAAATAAGAAACTAAAATAATACACCTAAATATTAACAATTTTTTCTTTTGTTTTATAAATATCAATTTATAAACGTCTTGTGTTCCAATAATATTAATCATCTACAAGAGATAAATATCAAAGAAAGTAAAATTAAATAAAAGCTTTACAATCATTTTTATCTTTATAAATAGTTTTTACACATTAAATTTTTTATCAATTTTTTATTTACGCTCACAAATTGGTGATTTAATTTAAGACAATTTTTGTATTCGTACTTTATCGTACAATGAGATATCAACATAACTGTACATATATATTCTAAAATTGCATGTTACTAATCTGTTCTAGCCTATCCATTTTAAAGTACTGAATCTATGAAATATCCATTTCAAGGAAAGATTTTTAACCCTTCTATTTTCATATCTTTTTTAAATATACATTACGTATGTCTGATACAATCTTCTCACAGATCCATTACTTCAAACTAAAATAAAAATTGATTTATCACTCACCGATACGATGCGCAACAGCGGAGTTGTAGTCTATGTTGAAACTACGTTGATCTGTAAAATAAAAATTTGGATTATACAGCAGCGTTCCTAAAATAATTCATATTTCAAAGAATTGATATAATTATTACGTGAATTTAAGTTTTGTATTTTTCTTTGAATAAATATATATTTATTGAAATAATTATATAAACTAGGGATACGCAACTGAATCTGGACGAGGCTTTTTAATCTGACCTGGGCTGCGATGTTTTTTAGACCTCCCCATTTTCTCACTTTTTTCTGACTTTTTTGTTAATATTGACGTTGGATTTAAATTTTGGCAACTTTCATTTATTGGATATTGTAGCTAACATATTCCTCAAGAGTTCTGTGTAAAAATTTAAAGTCTTCATATATGCATTTATATCGGAGCAATGTTAATTTAAAAAAGCTATTCCATAATCCTTGCTTTTATCCTATATACGTTTCACTAATTAATGCTCGCAATGCTCTACATAGAAACCTTTCTTTCTTGTTAATCAAATGTTAAACAAAGAAAAATAATGCTCATGAGTGCCAAGTAAATTACACCTTGGACGCAAAAGAACCGATTTTTCAATAGATCAATCTCAGGTCATTCATCTACTGAGAAACGAACTATTGCAACAAGTAACGGATGATAGAGGCATGCATACAAAAAAATATAGTCTTATATTTAGCTACTACGGCATAACCTCAAGTTTCACATTTTCGCCACCAAAAAATCTAGTTGCGTTTCCCCGAAATATAAACTATGAACTACAAACTACAGGTCCACATGAAAACATACAGTTTAATGTTTAAATAATTTCTAGTATTGTAGTATCTTCAAGCATTCAAATTTTAATATAATAAAAATAATAAATCGCGCAAATACTTCACAGTTGCTCCAGCATTGCCCGATTCCTCTCGATCTCCTTTATTTTCCGAGTTATTTTCCTTTTGTTGCTTTTTCACTTCGTGACATACACACACATTCACTCACGAAATTAACGTGACAACTTTATCCATATTATTGTTAGATTGTACGGCTTTTCCCGTACTTTAATCGTATACGATACGCATTTTATAATATCTCCGGATAATCTGTAATTTGAATATTAGAACTTATCACAGTCACATTTCGAAAAATAATACGATGAAGCACGAAACGATTCATACCGTTACCTGTGACTTGTCTCCCTTGTGTCCGCTTGATTCCTACGAGCAAAGACGGAGAGAATGGACTGCGCGATTCGTGTGTCAAAATGGTCGATAGGGATGAGAGAGAGGGACCGTGGCAGACGGCTATTTCTATCTCTTTCCATTCAATGATGTAATGGGAGAGAGAATGAGAGGGAGATTGGCCGTCTCCCACGGTCCCTCTCTCTCATTATTGTCGACCATATTTGATACACTACTTAGATACGGATCGCGCAGTCCATTCTCTATGCTTTGACGAGTAATAACAAATCCCACACGCATTACAAATGGCGGCGTACGCCGCGCGCCGCGCGTCGCGACGCCGAATTAAAATAATCGCGCGTATTCCTTGCCACTCATCAAATCAAATAACACAGGCCTGCATGGTTTTGTTGATTGAGATTTAACAATGTTTTCTTACGTAATTTTTTACGCTGAATCCGAATCCGACTGCGGAATTGCTCTATCACGTCATAATTTCGAAACTTGAAATCTTAACTTGAAACTGTCAAAAAGCCGTTTTTAACCATATTTAAAATTAAATTAAAAATTGAGAAAATTTTTGTTGTTAAATCCATCAACGGTATCATTTACTACTATACGGCTCCTTCAAAATCTATTTTGAACCATCTCAAAACGATTTTTTCTTCCGGAGATATACCGATTCGAAGTTTGATAAATTGTACCTCGTAGGAGCCTAGTCTCTAAGGCAAAATGGGTGACTCCCCAGCCAGTGAAGGCAAGGTGAATGATTTATGAAAATCTTTTCTTTTTTAATTTAATTTTAAATATAATTGAAAACGGCTTTTGTGGCAGTTTCAGGTTAAAATATCTCGAAATCTTGACGTGATAGAGCAATTCTGCAGCTGGATTCGGATTTATTGCAAAAAATTACATAAGAAAACATTGTTAAATCCCAATCAACTTTTAACACCTCCAATTTTATAGGCCTGTGTAATGCCCGTTCTCATCAATGTAGATTAACTTTAATCTTGATTCAACGTATTCTTTATTTTTTTTTGGTTCTAAGAACTAAAGTTTCTAGACAAAAAAGAGGAAGTTGAACGGAGATTAAAATTAATTTTAAGCATTGGTGAAAATTGGTATAAATGTATTATACATAAGTAAATCATGAGTAACTTCAATATATTTCACCGTGATTTTTAAAGGTAAAATTACATATTTGAATATTCAACAAGAAAATAATTAGTAATATATGTATCCGAATGAAATAGCAATTTATGATAATCTTTAGTTTCTAAGCCTATCTTTGATCTTTACTTTAGAAAAGATTTTTATTTCAAACACACAAATCGTACAAAATATTTACTGCAATAAACGTCGTTTTAATATGAATCGTCTCTTTCGAATCGTTAATTATAGAAGAGAATTAGTCACGAGTTGTAATTATTTGTACTTATGTGTAAATTATTTATAGTTAACTGTAATTCTCTTGTAATTGTCCGTAAGGAATAATGAACGCATTTAAATTCTTTATCTGTCGCGAAAACGAGAGAAAGAGACCACGTTTCGGGAAGCACTAAATGCTTGCACGAAGGACCAGCTACCACTATTGTCGGTTAGATGTTCGTCTTGGAAATGATAACAAATTGCGTGTACAGCAACGACGCGACGCGCGACGCAGCGGGGTATACGTTACAAAATCAAAACAAGCATCGCACACAGCGCACGTTACAAGTGAACTATTATCATTCTCAAGGAGAGAGCCAAACTGGCAGCGAAGGCGGGCCGCCGTTTCACATCGCATTATATATAATTTCTCGAAACGTAACAAATACTAATAAATTGCAATAGCGATTATTCTTTACGAACAATTATAAATTATCAACTTTCAATATACCTATAATAAAATCGAGGGGTATGTCACTCTCGAGTCAACAGTTTTTAATGTTAGAAATCATAATATAATCAAGTGCACATTATGATGACATACATAAGGAATCGTATGAATAACGTTTGAAATCGATTGCGTGAAATTTGCAGTTTACCTAGCAAGTTAATGCAGCGTTATCGGTTAAGAGCGAGTCAAGTACGTCGAGGTGCGAGTCGGTGCGAGTCGGGACTCGGGGTATGAATCGGTGCGAGTCGGGATGTGAATCGGTGCGAGTCCATGCGAATCGGTGCGTTTAAGAAATGAGTCAGGGGAAATTAATGTGAATCAACAGAAACGGAAACATTATCGTAGAAAATTATGTCGCACAACGTGCATGCGCGAACCGGCGCGAGCGTATTTGGGCCTAACCGTTATCTACATGTCTTTATCTAGTTTTCTAACCTGTCACAAGTTTTCTAACCTGAAAAGTTGTCAACTTTAACGTTTAATCGAGCGTTTAATAATTCGATGTAATCCGTTACATTCTTTTTGCCAAATTCTTCCGTTTTTTCGAATGAAAACGCATTAAATGAGTATATTTTTATTAAATGACGCCTATATTCTAAATTACTGCACGAAGTATAAATAAATATAACTTGGTGTCGACTTGGTGTTGGGATCCCCTTAAGCAGGTATGTTGAATTGACTTAGGGTGCGTTCCGATATTCAGTGCAAGGTTCCAATATTCAGTGCCAATGCTGAAACTATACAGTATACGTTACGTGCACTATATTATAGATCTTTAGCATTGGCAGTGAATATCGGAATGCATCTTTATTTTATTCATATAGCTTAAATAGAAAAATTTTCGAGAAAGTTTCTGAAGTGTAATTATACAATTAATCTTTTACATTTCACGAATACAAATAAGAAAAACTAAAGAAATAACATTAATACTGCAATTGAGCCTCTCCTACCCAGCAAACACATATATATAATATAATTTCATATATCTGTGTTATATATGTTGCTAGGTATTATTATTCCATTTTTTTACAAAGCAAAGAATCGATATGAATAAATATATTAATTTAGCCTAAATACCTTTTTCGGTTTTAGGTATAAAACCTGATACTGATTAAATTTTCTAAACAAGCATCATGTTTAATCCAAATAAAGAAGGCAATTCTACTTCAAGTATAGAAAATGAAGAAAAATTTCGCTCGCATTTCTGGACTAAAATTCAAAATCAATTGGGAGTTTACGTTCCACATCACATAAAAAACAATTTTGCAATTTCGATAACCCGATTTCATTTCGACAAATTTCTGAGGATATTATTTCTGAATTAGAGAAATTTGCTCAAACATTGATGCTTTCATTAATTGACAAAAATGAAGATTTGAAAAAATATTATGGAATATATTACAAAAACCCGGAGAAATTTCAATTTGTAATTGGAGACAAACTGTTACTTCAACAGTTAGTTAACTATATAAAAGATAAACCTTTAAATTTTTGCGGAGACATTGGATCTTCTTTACCGCATAAGACGCTAACTTCTATACAACAAGCACTCAATCATCCTATAGAAATTGATATAGAAGCACAGAAAAAGAAGTTGCAAAGACTAATTACAACAACGATGAAAAGTAATAAAAGAATCTATCTCGAATTTAGTAAATCCGATCGTCTATTACTTTTAAAAGATACAGTAGTCAACATTGCAGTGAAACAAAACAAAAATGCCGAAGTAACATACGAGGCAAAAATTACATGTCCAATATGTTTTAGCGTGACAACCATTACTAAAATCGCCGAAAAGGGGCGCTTAAAAACGCGATGGATTCTCTCTAATTTTATACGGCATATAATGACACACTCTGCAAATAAGACGCTTAAAAACGCGATGGATTCTCTCTAATTTTATACGGCATATAATAAAACACTCTGCAAATACACATAATCACAATAAATCAAAACAGAACGGCCCACCTGAAGCCGAATCTGTAGAAAA